GTATGATTACAAATTGAATATAACTACCAAACAAAGACGATTATTGGAATTCAATCAATCGTATGAACTTTATCTTCATACATATTAGAATTGCATAGTATTCGTAATAATTTCACATTAGAGAGAGTTTTTGAAATTTTACTGTATTTATACAATTTCGAGAAATCGATACTTTTTGCAATATGAATTCTTTCGATAATATATTTTTCAATTTATTCATACTAATATTCTTTTTCTTCTTGAATTATTATCTTATGATCATTTTTTAATAATTAAATAACCTTGAACATCTTTATATTTTTTATATACATTTTAATCTATCATCAACTTCAATCTAGAAAAAAGTAATAACATTATAATTTTATTGTTTAACTATACATTGAAAAATTTTGACGATATTATTAATAAAATTCTCGAAAAAAAAAGCTATCACCGAAAAAATATTAAATTTTTCTTTCGTATCAAATTTAAATCAGTTTTTTGAAAAACATCATCATTATTCTACATATGATTGATAATATTTTCGATTGATGACGAAAACATAAATAGCAGCTGATGGTCCATGATGACATATACACCACTGATTATATATATGAATATATTTAAGATGAAACTCATTTTATAAAGCTACAATTAACATTATATGAAATTCATCATTGATATAGATTATTTATGATATTAAATATTTCTCATTAACTATATTTCAGTAGTTGATTTTTGTGACATCTCACGTTTGCATAAGTTCTAAATATAGCTCTCAATAGTTTTTAGAAGTGCATATGACGAAAAATTTGACAAAGAAGCACTGATAATCCATCCAAAAAGAGAATGACCAAGGAAAGAGTTTCATCTTAAACTTGGTAAAAAAGTTCATCTCAGTCCCTTCAACATCGAAATCTAAAGTTTTCAAGTACCAACAGCTCCTAGATTTTTTATGAGGAAGGAGTATGAATCATCTTTAGTCGTCTTGTGAAACCATTGATATCAACAAGTGTCAAACGTTTGTGAGGAGTGCTCACGAAGGAATCTTCTCCGATACTGCTGATTTTGTTGGTTGTTTGTCTATAGATCTTATATGTTGTTCTATTAAAAGTTTTAAAAGAATTTGGGTTCCTGTTGACTAAAGTATCGAATTTTTAATGTCTAGATGCTTCAGGTTTATGAAAAACTCGTATTTTTGAAATGTTGATGTGAAACATTTTACGTAAAGAGAACTCAACTAAACTAATTTCCATAAAAAATTCAGAAGTTTTCAATCAAGTTTCTATGAAATATGAGACTTTCACGATAGAGAGCCTTTTCCATGAATAATATATATAATAAACATTTTTTTGAAAGCTTCATATGTTGAAGAGAACTTGTTCAAAACTATATAGTTTTATAATAAAAGGTAGTCTAATTGAATTCTTTTTGTATACGAAACTTCAGATCAAAGTTCAAAAATAAGAGTGTTTCGAAAAACCTGATATCTCTAGAAAATAAATATATTAAAAACTCGATAGCTTAGTTAAACCTGGTAGGACAAAGAATAGATTCCTCGGTAACTATTTTTCCAGTGGTTCCGATCTTGATCTAGAAAAGACTACTACAGAATCTCTTATTTCAAAAATAAAGTCTTCAATAATCCTTTTTCTAATTTATTTAATCGGCGACAAGCATGTTTGTGAGTCATCTCTCTTAGATAATCTTCTGACTGATTTGATCTATAAAGTAATTCGCTTTCAACCATAAAATGTTTAACTATTATCTTTAGTTTTCCTTGAAACAACTTTTTTTTAGTCATCCCAGTGACTATGATCATGACTAGCATTGTCTAACATATCTAAAGTCGGAAGATATATTTAATGCAGTCGTATACAGAATTTTCAATATAATATTCTTTGTATTTCATCGAGTTTTGCTAATAAACCAAATAATTGTTTTTTCATTTACTTTTATTCTAACTAATGCATCAATATGTATATATGTTACTTATGAGATTGTACTCGTATGCAAGAATATAATTACTCAAACATTCGTATTAGATTTTCACTATGATACGAAAAAAAAAACTTTCATAAAAATAAATATTCTATATAGTTTATTTATTAATTTTGTTCAAAATATTTCACATCAGATACATACAAGCAACAAAAAAGAAAAGATAAATAAATCTTTATAATTCAACGATTTGTTATTTTTTTCAGTATCTTCGAAAGAGATATTCGACGTTTCTTTTTGATTTTTTTATTACTTATTGGAATTGGAATTGGAATTGTTGGTATCGATTGTCTGTTCTCTTTTGGTCGATGTATCATCGAATATAAATATTCTTCCCGAGATTGAACAATCAAATCAAGACGTGAACTTTCATCAACTAATTTAGCAAATGTACCATAAGGCATGTTTTCTGTTGATTGTTGATTTATTGAAAGTATAATATCATCTACATAGAGACCACCATCAGCAGCTGGACTATCATCTTCAACTTTTCGAACAAGAAAATAACTTTTATTATATTGTAAATGAAAACCAAAACCTTCATAATTTTCTGAACGATATAAATGTACAATACATATACCGTCACGACGTATTGATGTTACTGCTTGTTGTTGACTTCCTTGAGCACTAAGAATATAGTATAAACTTTCATTAACATTTATTCGATTATCAACAAATTTCAGGGATGTATAAGATGAGAAATAAGCTTTCTCTACTGAGATATTGCTATGATTTCACATAGAGTATAAACAATAAATTTTATATCAAATGAAACCTTGTCGAAAACAGGATTTATCAGTACATTTTCGAAATTTCCATGTATGACAGATTATAGACTTGAAAAAAATTATGCTTGTGATCAGATTCGAACTAAATGTGATAGAAAATTAGATTTAGTTTTTCATTATTTGATGCATACAATCAATAATCATTATGATGACTGTTGATATTCTTTACTTTACAAAGTCGAAATGAATATGAATATAGAAGAATTTCAAAAATAATTTAGTATTAGTTTCTAGATTTGACAAAACATTTGAAATATCAATTATTAGTATTTTTTTAAAGATAATAATTGCATTTCAGTTGTGACAACATTTTGTTATTTATGAAAATGCTTTTAGATTTCTATGATTCGATTTGATAGAGTTATAAGCATGAAATATGAACGACTGTGAGAAACGGAAAAAAAAGAGGTATTCACTAGAATAATGATCTTTCTGTGTATTTATAGTAAAATTCCTTTTTATTCTATCTTAAGAATCATTTATAGTATATTATATTGGCTACTATCTACAGAATTCTATTAGTTTCAAGAGTTTAACATATGAAAGATTTTCGTTTTCATGATTGTTTATTACTAATAAATTTTGTTTTTCAACAGCTTTCATTTGATATGAAACTTATTGCTTAGTCTATTTGAAATTATAGCGGCACTCCAGTAAAAAAAAACATATTATTTCATACTTTCTAGGATTTGATTGCACAGTTGTCGCCATAATGAGAAGGT